ATTACAGGCACGCACTACCACGCCCGGCTGATTTTTTGATTTATTGTAGAGATGAGGTCTCGCCAAGTTGCCCAGGCGGGTCTTGAACCTGCAGGCTGAGGCAATCCACTCACCTCAGCCTCCCAAGGCACGGGATTACAGGCTGAGCCACCAACGGTTGTTAAATGGTGTGGCTACTTTGGAAAAACAGTTTAGCAGTTCCTCAAAAAGTTAAATATAGAGTTATATGGCCCAACAGTTCCACTCTTGGTTATATGTCATTCAGAAATTTGTACATGAATGCTCATGCCAGGATTATTTATAATAAGCAAAAGTAAAAGCAACCCAAATACCTGTCACCTGGCAAATGTATAAACAAAAAGTAGTGTATTCATACAGTGGAATACTAGTTGACAATAAAAGGGATATTCTGTCACATAGGTGACCCTCAAAAACATACTGTGTGATAAAAAAAGCCAGGTACAAAAGATTATATATTATATGATACCATTTATATGAAATGTTCAAAAAAGCCAAATATAGAGTGACAAAAAGCAGATGTTTAGTGATTTCCTAAGGGATAGAGGTGGAAATGAAGAATAATAGGCTTGAGGTTTTCCGAAGTAGCTGCACCATTTTATATTCTCACCAACACTCATTATTGTCCATCTTTTTTATTATAGCTGTTCTAATGGATGTGAATTGGTATCTTATTGGGATTTTGATTTTTGTTTCTCTAATGACTAATGACATCTTGTTAGCCATTTGTATACCTTCTTTGAGAAATATCTTTTCAGATTCTTTGCCCATTTTAAAATTGTGTTGTCTTTTTACTATTGAGTTCATTGTGAATTCTGGATACCATTCCCTTATTGGGTACATGATTTGCAAATATTTTCTCTATTCCGTAAGTTTCTTCTCATATTCTTTTCTTTTTTCTGAGTCATAGTCTTACTCTGTCACCCAAACTGGAGTGGCATGCTCACGGCCACTGGAGCCTCGACCTGCTGGGCTCAGGTGATCCTTCTGCCTCAGCCTTCCAAGTAGCTGGAACCATAGGCATGCGCCAGCTGATTTTTTGATATATTGTAGAGATGAGGTCTCACCATGTTGCTCAGGCTGGTCTCAAACTCCTGAGCTCAGTCAATCTTCTTGCCTCCACCTCCCAAAGTGCTGGGATTACAGGGGTGAGCCACTGCACCTGGCTCTTTTTTTTTTTTTTAAAGGCAAGAGTCTTACTCTGTCGCCCAGGCTGAAGTGCAGTGGCGTAATCCATAGCTCACTGCAGCCTCAAACTCCTGGCCTCAAGCAATCCTCTGCAAGCAATCCGTTCCTTGCAGCTGGGATGCAGGCACACACCACCATGGCCAGCTCTTTTTTTTTACTTTTTTTTTTTTTTTTGTAGAGACATGGTCTCATTGTGTTGCCCCAGCTGGTCTCAAACTCCAGGCCTCGAGTGCTTGCCCCCCTTAGTCTCCCAAAGTGCTGGGATTGCAAGTGTGAGCCACCACCATGCCCAGCCCTCCCACTTTTCTTAATGGTGTATTTTGAAATCAAACATTTTAATTTGATTAAGTTCAGTGTGTCAGCATTTTCTTTTATCCCATGTGATTTTGGGGATTATATCTAAAAAAAATCAGTGCCCAGCTAACCCAAGATCACAAAGATTTATTCCTATGTTTTTCTTTGAAAAGCTTCTTAGCTCTATCTCTTACTTTGGTCCTTGACCCATTTTCAGTTAATTTTTGTATATAGTGTGAGGAAGTATATGGTACCTGCACCATTTGTTGAAGATGCATTGAATTTTCTTGGCACATTTTTTGAAAATCAGTTGACTATGAATATAAGAGATTATTTCTGAGCTCTCAGTTCTATGCCACTGACCTATCTGTTTCTCCTTACGCCAGTTTCATACCATTTTGATTACTGTAGCTTTGCAGTAAGTTTTGAAACTGGGAACTCAAAGTCCTCCAACTTTATTCTTATTTTTCAAGACTCTTATGGTTATTCTGGGTTCATTGCATTTCCATGTGAATTTTAGGATGAACTCATCAATTTCTGCAAAAAGTCAGCTGGTTTGACAGGGAGTGTGTTGAATATATTGACCAGTTAGGGTTGTATTGCCATCTTAATAATATTAAACTTTCCATCCACGAACCTCGAATGTCTGTTTATTTCAGCATACATGTTCTGCACTTATTTTGTTAAATTTTTTATGTAAAGGATTTTATTCTTCATCATGCTATTGTAGCTGAAATTATAATCTTCATTTTCTTACTGTTCATTGCTAGTGTGTAAAAATACAGTTGATTTTTGTATGTTGATCTTGTGTCATGCAACCTTGCTGCATGCATTTATTATTTCAACTAGTATTTTTAGTGAATGTCTTGGGGTTTTCTACATACACAATCATGTCATCTGTTAATAATAACACAATTTTACTTTTTCCTTTCCAATCTGGTTATCTTTTTTCTTTGAGAGACTAATTACCCTGGCCAGAAACACCAGTATAATGTTGAATTAATGTGGTTGAGAGTAGACATTGTCTTGTTCCTTTTCTTAGGGAGAAAGCATTCTTTCTCCATTAAATAAGATACTGGTTTAGGTTTTTCTGTCAGCATTGGCCTATCAGGTTGAGAAAGTTTCCTCATACCTTGTATTCCTAGTTTTTTCAGGGTTTTTATCACAAATGGTGCTAGATTTTGGCAAGTGCTTTTCCATGTCTATTTTGATGACTATGTGGCTTTGTTCTTTATTTTGTTAATCTGTGTATTACATTAATTGATTTAAAGATGTTAAGCCTGCCTTGCATCACTGGGAAAAAGTCTGTTTGATCATGATGTATAATCCTTTTTATTTTTATTTTTTTGAGTCAGAGTCTCACTCTGTTGCCCAGGCTGGAATGTAGTAGCATGCTCACGGCCTCCACAGCCTCAACCTACTGGGCTCAGGCAATCCTTCTGCCTGAACCTTCCAAGTAGCTGGAACTACAGGTTTGTGCCACCACACCCGGCTAATTTTTTGATTTATTGTAGAGACGAGGTCATGCCAAGTTGCCCAGGCTGGTCTTGAACCCCTGGGCTCAGGCAGTCCTCTTGCTTCTGCCTCCCAAAGTGCTGGGATTACAGACATGAGCCACCGCACCCTGTCATATAATCCTTTTTAATATGTTGCTGGATTCAATTTGCTAGTTGTTAGTTGAGGATTTTGTGTTTATATTCATGAGGGATATAGGTTTTTAGTTTACTTTTTTTGTGTGATGACTATCTGGCTTTGGTACCAGAGATAGTACTAGCCTTATAGAGTGAGTTGGAAGGTACCCTTCCTCCTCTATTTACTGGAAAAACTTGTAAAAGATTAACATCGGTTCTTTTTAAAATGTTGATAGAATTCATCAGTGAAGCCATCTAGACCTGGGCTTTTTCTTTGTGGGAAGATTTTAAGTTATTAATTCAATCTCTTGTTATGATCTATTCAGATTTTCTATTTCTGCATCAGTTTTAGTAATCTGTGCTTTTCTAGGAGTCTGTCTCTTTCATCTAGGGTATCAAATGTGTTGGTATACAGTTCATAGTATTTTCTTGTATTTCCTGCAAATAACTGTTTACTCATATGTCTGCTCCCATTTAACCTATTGAGAATTTTTTTGTTTTGTGTCTGATTTTATTTTATTTATTCTTTGCAAGGGCTCTAAATATTGTGAGGTTTTTTTCAGTGCTTGCTCTCTTGCTTTGTGGATGTAGTAATTCAAGCCTCTTTGAATATAATAAAATTAATATTTTTCATTCTCATATTTCTTGCATTAACCCTTCCTTCAGGACTAGTTGCTGTGCATGTTTATCCTAGTGGTGCTTGTAGGTTGAGAATTTTCTTATAGTGAGGCTGATTTGTATTTCTAACTGAAAGCGTACTTCTGTCAGCACTGGCCTATGGTTGGGTGTACTGAGCTATTGTGGAGCTGTAGTATGATGCCCTGGCCAGCCTCAAGACTCTTCAGCTCTGGTATGCCTGAACTGTTGTTTTGTTTTGTTTTTGAGTTGAAGTCTCACTCTGTCACCCAGGCTGGAGTGCAATGGCATGTTCACGGCCACCGCAGCCTCAACCTGCTAGGCTCAGGCGATCCTTCCACCTCAGCCTTCCAAGTAGTGGGAACTACAGGCACGTGCCACCACGCCCAGCTAATTTTTTGATTCATTGTAGAGATGAGGTCTCATCAAGTTGCCTGGGCTGGTCTCGAACCCATGGGCTCAGGCAGTCCTCTTGGCCTCCCAAAGTGCTGGGATTATAGGCATGAGCCACCGTGTCTAAGCTGTCTGGACTGTTATAGACTGGATTGTATTCCTCTGTCATTGGAGGAAGGAAGGAACAATGGACCCAGGTACCTGGATACATTTGGCATGTTCATGGGTGTGTCAAGTGCCTCCCCTCTTGGGTGTTATGGCATCTTAAACCTTTGCATTCGGGTGTCCCCTCTGACATCCATCTCTGACATTTACACTTCCTGCTGTTCACCACTCTCCTGGGTCTGCTCTGCCTTCTAGCCTCTGCTGGATTTTTCAGGTGTTGATTGTTAGAGCGCACATAGTCACTTTGGCAGTCCCCTCCTTCTCTGAGGGGGCATTGTAAATCTAGCAAACCACTTGAATATCCCCTCTCATGGGACATAAAGAGATTGCTGACTATACAGGACAAAGTTATGCCAGCACAAATTTTTCAAAAATGTATGTTTCCTTGAGTTTTTCAATTCAAGTTGCATGAAAAAGCAAATAAAGAGATGGAATATCTACTGAGATAAGATTGATCAGTTGAAAAGTAGTTTTTAGGAATCACAAGAACATCCTTCCACATCTTCTTCAAACAAAAGACTGGACAATAAATTACATATTAATGTGGGAGGAAGAAAACAAGGCTGTATTGTCTGTTCGAATAGAACAATACCAGGTGGAAGATATCAAATTACTATTGCACAACATGTGTCAGTGAACCTGCAATGTTCACATGTTACCACATATTAGAAAAATATAAGATACGAAATTTTAATTTTTTTTGCCGTAAATAAGTTCCTCAATATCCAAAATCCCATTATAAGCCAAATATCATTATAATAAAACAATTGGTTCCAATGCTATACAATTCAATACGAAGTGATTAGTTTTTCACTATTTTGTTAAAAAGTGTGGTCAAGTTGCTGGTAAGTGATCTGCAAGATGTCTTCGAGTGCAAAGGGTTAAAAATAGCTAGTGCTGACTGGGCAGCACAGTGGCTCAGGCCTGTAATTCCAGCACTTTGGGAGGCCGAGGTAAGAGGATTGCCTGAGGCCACATGTTTGAGACTAGCCTGGACAACTTGGCAAGACCTCGTCTCTACAATAAATCTAAAAAATCAGGCAGGTATGGTGGCATGTGCCTGTAGTTTCAGCTTTTTGGAAGGCTGAGACAGAAGACAGAAGGATCACCTGAACCCAGCAGGTCAAGGCTGTGATGGCTGTGAGCAGTGTGCCACTGCACTCCAGCCTGGACGAAAGAGTGAGACTCCAACTCAAAAAAAAAAGAGTGAGACTCTAACTCAAAAAATAATAAAATGAAATTAAAAATAGCTGATGCATTGCCCTGATTTTTCTTTCTGACCCCTGTTTTCTCCCACTGTAGCCCTGGACAGATACCTCAGCCAGCTGGTGAGCAGGCACAGAGCAGATCGTGTGCCACTTCCTGCTGTCCACCACTCTCCTGAGACCTGCTCTGCCTTCCAACCTCTGTTGGATTTTTCAGCAGTTGATTGATAGAGTGCACATAGTCACTTTGGCGGTCCCCTCCTTCTACATTCAGATGCTGGTGTTTCAATTCCCCTTTTTCTGTTAGATTGACCCCATCTGCTTTATAATTTCTAGAAATTCTTGACTACTTCAGAAGTATCTTCAGAAGAAGCAGCTTTTCTTTTTATGCCACACTTTGGTTGATTTATCCTTGTTTTTACATTTCTGCTTTAATTTCAGTGGGGTTTTGAAGGGGAAGAGAGAGAGAAGCTTTTCAGACTTTTTTTCGTAACTGATTTGAGGTATTACATTGTATGTGTGTTGTGCTTTACCCTTTGTTACATGCAACTGTATGTTGCCCATCTTCACAGGAACAAAATGAATCTCCAACACATCTAAGTAAATTTGGGACATTTATAACTGATACAGTCATTTCGAGTTTTATTGTTGTAGTCTATGTAAAACAACTAAAAACTCTACAGGTAACAAACAGAACAGGTACAAATGCTGTGGAAAGTTGCCAAGATGGTAAAAAAAATGTGTTCATTGATCAACCAAGACAGATCTGCAGAATTAGATTTTGTTTACAATGGTACAGGTTGTGTACTGTGTGAATGTTATCTCCCCCCACATGCCTTCCAGAGTTCTGCAGTGCACAGCCTGTACGGCTGTCCTGAGCAGTCGTGAAAGGTCCAGGCTTTATATGCCTCTTTGGTTGTAAAATCTTATATTCATCAGGAGTCTTAATAATCCCATTTGTGGAAATGTTGTGGTAAAATAATTGTGATCTAAATTAAAAATCAAAACTGAATGTTAATATGAACACCACTGTGTAAGACTGTATAGAAAAATAGTGGAAGGAAAGATACTAGATGTGAACAGTGGTCTTTGGGTGGTGGAATTGTATATGATTTTTTTCCCTATCTTTTTATTTTTCAAATACACTATCATGAGAATATAATTTTTACAGTGAGTAACAACAAAAATTATTTTTAAATATTGCTCTGGGCTTTCACCTTGCTGTGATATATTTTTTTTATCTTCCTGCAGTAGATCTTTTTGGTGATTGATCTTATTTCTCAAACTAGTTTTTAGTAGGCCTTTTCTGATAATTTTATATCAAGAGGCAGTAAGGAACTTAAGAAGATAGTTGCAAATTTTGCTGAACTTACTCCACACAATTCTGCCATATAACAGGCCCCTTGAAATTCTTTTTTCCAGCCTGCCAGTGCAATGGCCACAGCAAATGCATCAATCAGAGCATCTGTGAGAAGTGTGAGAACCTGACCACAGGCAAGCACTGTGAGACCTGCATATCTGGCTTCTACGGGGATCCCACCAACGGAGGGAAATGTCAGCGTAAGTCAAGTTGGTCAGGCTTACTGATGAAAAATCAATGTGGAATGTAAGACTTTAGATTTGATTTAAATATCCAAGAGGAAAAAACTACTTTATTTTGGATAATGCGCTTCTTATTGTCATAGTTGTCAGAAGCTCAGCTGAGCTGGAAGAGAGATCCCCAACTCTCCCTGTTTCCTTTTCCCTCATGGAACAGTGCACTAGTCGAGGGTCAGGTGTATCAGCTCAGATATGAGGGTCCTGAGGGCCCTCTCACTATGGAGGAGTCCTGAACAAAAGGCTTCTACAGTATTATGGACCCTGAGGTTGCAGAGAGGGTGAAGGGGAAGGGCTAGAAATAGGGAACTCTTGCCTCCCCCCATAAGGAGGCTTCCTTCTCCCCCATGAAAAAGACCTCAGCCCAAAGCGTCAGATAAGGAGACCTGGGAATGAAGACTGCAGGGCCAGGAATGCAAATATGTGAAAGAGCATGACTGATGAGATGGGCCTGAAAAATTGCAACTCCCTTGGTTGCAACTCCCTCAGACCCCAATGCTTGCTGCACCCTGGGTCTGCTGTGTCGTGGGCAGCCTTTTCCCTGGGGCAACCAGGTAAAGCCTGTGTCAGTGCCTATGGTTGGGCCTGAAAAATTACTGCAGGTTTTTTAACCAGGAGCTGGAATCCTCAATACTCTAGTATATTTTAAAAATTTAAATAGTCTCCTGTTTCCCCATTCATGTCAAGTAGAAGCCTGTAAACAATAGGACATTTTATTATTAGAATAAAAATGGTGTATATATTACATATATGTGTGTGTATATATATGTAATATATATATATTTTTTCTTTTGGAGATAGAGTTTCACTCTGTCGCCCAGGCTAAAGCACAGTGGCAGGATCATAACTCACTGAAGCCTCACACTCCTGAGTTCAAGTGATCCTTCCATCTCAACCTTCTGAGTAGCTGAGACTGAAGGCACGTACACCATGCCTAGCTAATTTTTAAATTTTTTGTAGAGATGAGATCTTGCTGTGTTGCCCAGGCTGATCTTGAACTCGTGGACTCAAGCGATTCTCCCTCCTCTGTCTCCCAAAGTGCTAGGATACCCAGCAAAAATTATATTTTTAAAAAATGACAAGTGACACTAATGAAATGATTTTTTTTATTCATTCTAATTTCCAACTAAAAAATACAGTGAGTCCTCTAGTTCAAAGACTCTTCAAGTTTCAAGTTCTTTTTTTTTTTTTTTTTGAGTTGGAGTCTCACTCTGTCACCCAGGCTGGAGTGCAGTGGCACACTCACAGCCACCCCAGCGTCAACCCACTGGGCTCCAGCAATCCTTCTGCCTCAGCCTTCCAAGTAGCCGAAACTACAGGCGCATGCTACCACTCCTGACTAATTTTCTAGTTATTGTAGAGATGAGGTTTCGCCAAGTTGCCCAGGTTGGTCTCAAACTCATGGGCTCAGGTAATCTACTTGCTACAGCCTCCCAAATACTGGGATTATAGGCTGAGCCGCTGAGCCCAGTGACTTTTCAAGTTCTGAGCAGGAAAAATAAATGACAAAGAAAATCTCTACCCATTAATACATCCTAGATCCTACCTCCAAACTCTTTTTTTTTTTTAATTAAATATGGGTTTTTTTTCCCTGCCTAAAATTATTTTTATTCCCTTCTATTTCTTTTTTTTTATAATCAATATTTTTTATTATGATGTTGTGGGGTACAGTTAAGGGTTAGGTATACAAATACGTTTCATTCAGGCACCCTATTGATAAGAGGTGCTTCCCCATCCCCAGACAGATATTTGCTATCGTTAATCCCATCTCCCTCCCCCCCCATAGTTTCCCACTACTGTCAGTCATTTTCTTACAGTATTAGGTTGGATGTTGAAGGTCCATTATATGAGTGAGAACATGTGATACTTGGACCTTTGTTTTTGTGAGAGGTCACTCAGTATTATAGACTCTAGTTCCATCCAGGTTGCTGTGAAATTCATGATTTTGTTCTTTTTTCTGGCTGCGTAGTATTCCACCATGTATATGTACCACATTTTTTTAATCCAGTCCTCTTTTGATGGGCAGCATGATTGCTTCCAGGTTCTTGCTATTGTGAACAATGCTGCGATAGACATATGTGTGCAGGTATCTTTTTTATAGAGTGATTTGAGTTCTTCCGGATATATTCCCAGTAGGGGGATTGCGGGGTCATATGGGAGGTTGATATTTAAAGCTTTTAGGAATCGCCACACTGCTTTCCACAGAGGTTGCACTAGTTTACACTCCCACCAACAGTGTAGAAGTGTTCCCTTTTCTCCACACCCTCTCCAGCAGCTGTTATTTTTTGAGTTGATAATTGCCATTCTGACTGGAGTACCTCCAAACTCTTTAATGTGGCCCTTTAGAATCTGATTTCAGACCAGCCAGAAGAATGGTAATGTTCTAGCTGTATGTCCCTTGTCCTCTCTGGGTCTCAGTTTCCTTTTCAGTAAAGTGGGGATAATAGGGTAGTTGTTGAGATTAAAGCAGTTGGAGCAGTGCATGACACATAGTCAACACTCAGTAGATGAGAGCAGTTCTTATACACTTCTAATTTCATTTCCCACTACTCTCAAAATTTCTCGCTCAAATTAAAAGGTAAAAATATTTTCCTACTTTTTATGAATAGACTTTATTCACTAGATAGTAACCAGAGTATCTAACATGATAGGGTGGTAGATGTGCACAAGGCATTGTGCTGATAGTCACTTGGGACAGCTTTTATTACTCCCCAAGGTAAAGTAAACTTCCACAAGGTCTCACAGGGAGATGTGGCCAAGCTAAGAACGACATCCAGTCTGTGCTGGTCTTAACTACTGGGCCTGGTCGTACCGCTAGGTGCCATTATTTCTATATCAGCAGCTGTCATCTTGAAAAATCACATTTTTCTCATTGATATCTATAGGGCCTGAATAAAGTTGTCCCAAATTTAGAGCTTGCTTTATTTTTCAGAGTCCTAACCCATAATAAAAAGCATGGTTTTAGAATACTGCGAGTGGCACCAAGTCTGTAATATTTTCTTCTTCAAATTGCATAGTCCTTAGCTAAGGATAATAGCCACAATTTATTGAATGTTTACTGTTTTAGGTTTCATACACATATTATCTCATTTAATCCTCACAACAACCCCATGAGATAAGTACTCCTGTTATCTCCATCAAATAGATGAGGAAACTAAGACTCAGAAAGGTTAAGTAACATGCCCAGAGTTATAGAAGAGCCAAGTGGAGGACAAGCCCAGGCAAAGGACTCCAGGCCTTTGCTTTTCGCTAATATGCTGCACATCCCTCCCACACTCAGCAGAACCAAGAATCGAACACTCATGTTTGACTACAGCATCCATTCTAGAGATGCTAATCTCTATGCTGTTCTGTTGTAAAAGTTTCTTTGGGCTCTATTTTTTTTCTCTACAGGATTTATTCTTTCTATCTATCTATCTATCTATCTATCTATCTATCTATCTATCTATCTATCTAATCTATCTATCTAATCTATCTATGTCATAGTCTCATTCTTTCGCCCAGGCTGGTATGCAGTGTCATGCTCACAGCCACTGCAACCTTGACCTGCTGAGCTAAGGCAATCCTTCTGCCTCAGCTTCCAAGTAGCTGGAGCCACAGTCATGCTCTACCACGCCTGGCTAATTTTTTTATTTATTGTAGAGACAAGCTCTCACCATGTTGCCAAGCTGTTCTTGAACCCCTGAGCTCAGGCAATCCTCTTGCCTCCGCCTCCTAGAGTGCTGGGATTACAGGTATGAGCCACCATGCCCAGCTTACAGGATTTATTTTTAAAGTACACCTCTGTGGTGGCTCAGCCTATAATTCCAGCACTTTGGGAGGCCGAGGCAAGTGGTTTACCTGAGTTCGAAACCCACCCGGGCAAGTTGGCGAGGCCTCGTCTCTACAATAAATCAAAAATTAGCCGGGTGTAGTAGTGCGCACCTGTAGTTCCGGCTACTTGGAAGGCTGAGGCGGAAGGATCACTGGAGCCCAGCAGGTCAAGGCTGCAGTGACCAGGAGTGTGCCACTACACTCCAGTCTGGTCGACAGAGTGAGACTCCAACTCAAAAAATAAATAAATAAATAAATAAAGGACACCTCTGCAGCCTCTAATTTATTCACAGAAAAACAAAGTATAAAGTCAAAGATATTAGGCAAAAAGACTTCCACTTATTTCAAGTAGATTATAAAATGTATTACAGCTTGCTGGCACAGTGGTTCACGCCTGTAATCCCAGCACTTTGGGAGGCTGAGGTGAGAGGATTGCCTGAGCCCAGGGTTCAAGACCAGTCTGGGCAACTTGGTGAGACCTTGTCTCTACAATAAATCTAAAAAATTAGTCAGGCGTGGTGGCGTGCGCCTATAGTTACAGCTACTTGGAAGGCTAAGGCAGAAGGATCACCTGAGCCCAGCGGGTCGAGGCTGTGGTGGCTGTGAGCGTGCCACTTCACTCCACATTAGCCTGGGTAACAGTGAGACTCTGACTCAAAAAATAAAAAATATAAAAATAAAATGTATCATAGCTTGTATTGTATGTTGGATGCTAAAGGCTAGAGATGCATTGAGAAAGCCATAGGAGGGAGATGGGAAGAGTTGTTTTCATAAAGACAAAGGAGAAGGTAAGGCAAGGTTGACAAGTCCTGAGGGCCTCTAAAATGCTGTCCTTGACATTAGAATCCCACCCTAGTTCTGAATCCTGATGTGATTCAAAATGTGACCATTGTGGAGAAGACACCTCAGCCAAGGTGGAGGGCAGCCATCTCCAGAGTGTCTCCATGGGGTCAGGGACTGTGCCCCCATACCCAGTATCTGGCACTCTAGAGATGCTTCATAAGTATTTATTGAATACACGAAAGAATCAGTGAAAAAGAGTCTATTGAAAAGATCAGAATTGTGATTGCTTCAGATGGCAGCAGAAACCAGCGTTCTCTTTCCTCCTATCCTTTGTCTTTGGTCTCTTTCCTGTTGCCTTTACGTTATTATCATTAGCTGAAAAATTGTGAATCTTACCTTTTAATATTCTTATTTTAATCTGTCTTTCCTGTCTAACCCAATTCAGATAAAATTACTTGTTTTGGAAATAGTCTCTGATAGTCCTGCTTTAAGCTAGTCATGACCTCTGTTTCTTTCTCCCTTCCTCCGCAGCATGCAAGTGCAACGGACATGCGTCGCTGTGCAATACCAACACGGGCAAGTGCTTCTGCACCACCAAAGGCGTGAAGGGGGACGAGTGCCAGCTGTGAGTACCTCACTCCTGGTACCACCAGGGAGAACCTACTGGCTCTGTGGCTGCCTGAGTCCCACCCCAAGAGTCACCCCCTTCCCATGTTGCCATGGGCTCTCAGGGTTGTTTAGTTTGAAATTTTGCCCTTCCTATTTCAGACAAATTAACCCCTGAACAGAAGTCATCGGGTTAGCAGCAATCCTTAATGGCTTTTTAATTCACATTTTTATGGTTGAGTGACATTTCCTGGGTTGCTAATTTGGATTAGTCAGTTTAACTTGAGCGACTACTTGATTTTTGTCATGTAAAGCGAGTACACTCTTTCCTGAAGGGAATAATTGTAAGAAACTGGTGTTCCAGTGGTATTTATTTGGCATTTTGGTTATCTGATAATGGAAATGATCCTCTTGTCTTTACCAGATCCCTCCTGCTCTAGCATTTTCTTTGGTGAAGTGTGTGAAGCATCTTCCAGGGGAGGGTTTGGAGTCCTCATCCATGAGGATTCAGACTTCAGGTTTCAGACCTGGTCCTGCCTCCACTGGACAGGATGCTCTTAATGCAAATTACTGAACCATGCTGAGCCTCAGTTTCCACATCTATCAGTAGTAGGACTAACTAATTACTTTTAGTTTTCTGGTAAGTTGAAGCAAGAGAGATTATTCCCCAATCAGCATATATCTGTCTGCCTCACTAGAAAACCTCTTAAAACACATGCATCCAGATTTACTCATTCTCTCAAGAAAAGACTTGAGAGAAGTTTTTAGTATCAAAACATTGAGTTATAAAAGCAGATACATCATTTTAAACTTTGTTTTTCTTTCTTTTTTTTTTTTTGAGTTGGAGTCTCACTTTGTCGCCCAGACTGGAGTGCAGTAGCCACTCCTGGCCACCACAGCCTCGGCCTGCTGGGCTCTGGCGATCCTTCCGCCTCAGCCTTCCGAGTAGCCGGAATTATAGGCATGCGCCACCACGCCTGGCTGATTTTTTTATTTGTTGTAGAGATGAGGTCTCGCTGCCCAGGCGGGTCTCGAACCCGCGGGCTCAGGCAATTCACTCACCTCAGCCTCCCAAAGGCACGGGATTACAGGCTGAGCCACTGAGCCCGGCTAACTTTGTTTTTCTTAAAGAACCATAGTAATAATGTCACCAGTGATTGAGACACTGATCTGAGATTCAGCAGATAATTGGTCTGTCTGCATTTGATAGTTTACATCAATGTGTGTGTTTTTCATGTTGCTCTAAAGCCAATACATGAAGAAAGATTGAATTTAACTTTTAGATCCATGTTTCTTCAAACAGAAAAATATGATAGGCCAAAAAATCACTCTTGCCCCAGATGATAGCAACAAAGGCATGAGGTGTGGTCTAGGGGAAACCTTTAAAGTTCCTTCTAGGGATTATAGATATAATATAGTCAAGGGCTAATAATCACCCTGGATAGAAGGACAAGATGTGCCTGTCAAGCTTACCTGAGAAAAGTGCTTCCCCCAATCTTTTCCCTCCCTTCCTCATATCTCATAGTTGTTTGCTTAAATGAGGTGGGAGACTGGGTTCGGCTGATGTTTATAGATGGTATCTATGGGGAAGTTAAGTTTTTTGAGTAGAACTTTTTTTTTCTGTAGACTGGTGAACACTTGTTTCAAGGCTTAAAAAAAAGAAAAGTGGTTCCTGGTTATTTAGTCTTCTCTCACTTATTTTTAAAGAACAGAATTAGTTTATTTAGGGAGAATAGGAAAGAAGTGAGAAATGAATACTTGGAAAACGTTTTGACTGTACTTTTAGAAGAATATATAGTCCTCACAAAAGTGAAAACAAGTTTTCTGTTATAGTACACAGGGACTAGATTTATTATCTTTGGACTTACTTCATGTACTTTGGCAAATGCTTGTCAGTTCTCATATAGTTGGTGTAGAAATTGCTGGGCAGGCAGCACTGAGAATTCATGCACATGTTCCCTAGTCCACTTGATCTGAGTGACAGTGATGAATGCAATTATAGTGAATCCAGACATCTGTACTTTTTATATGAAGTGATCAGTTTATTTTTTAAATGAATGTAGATTCTGTTTAAAATAGCAGTATAAAATAATTTTCATTTTTCCTTCCTAGATGTGAGGTAGAAAATCGATACCAGGGAAACCCTCTCAAAGGAACATGTTATTGTAAGTGTTTTTGCAATTCTTATTTCTAGAAGCAAAGTAGTTCAGTAAAACTCCACTGTTTTCTTTAACATGGTTTGAGAATGGTAAGTGCTATAGGAATATAGCAAGCAACCATGAATTATCCCCTGACACTTCCCCGTGTTTACATTCTATCAAGTTTATTTCATTTGTGAGCACCATTATAAGCTGTTTTAACTGTGGTTTATGTTGATGTGTTTGTAGCAGATATCAGGAGAGAGTACAGAGATTATGCATCTCTGGCTTTCCTTATCTATGTTCTTCTGAAATCTTACTTCATTTGCCATTCATTACCTGGTTGAGGCCATCATATTTCATATTTTAGGATATAGATCAAAACCAGAGTCCTTAAAATATAGATGAAGTTTCATCTATATTCTCTCTGAAACTGCTTTGTATTAACCACCTTGGAATGAAAGATGAATCTGGCAAAGTGACCAGGTTTTTATGGGTAATGCATTTTCTCCCTCTAGGAGAATCCACATGATAGGATAGATTATAAGACCAGAGAAAAGGGAGTTATGTTATGCTAAATCCATTGTAATTATATACCTGCTATAGCAGACTGGATAGCATCCCCTCAAAATTCACGTCCACTTGGAACCTGTGAATGTGACTTTATACACACACAGTGCCAAAAATATGTATATATATAAATTTTAAGAGACGGTATCAATGTATTACTTTTCAAATTTGAATTAAATTACAGTAGCAATTGGTAATATGATGTTTGTTCAACCATGCTTCCGCCGTTTTCTTTGACTGTTCTGCCAGTTGCATGGTGACTCTAGCATTCATTTGATTAATGCCATCTTTTGCATGAACATTATGCTTAAAATGTGTATACATCTTTTTGTCACCCTCTGTATATATCTCTCTCTCTCTTCTGTATATGTGTATATATATATATATATATATATATATATATATATATATACAGAATTTTTTTTTTTTATTGGAGACTCACCCTGTTGCTTAGGCTGGAGTGCAGTGGCACGCTCATGGCCACTGAATGCTTGACCTGCTGGGCTCAGCTGATCTTTTCACCTCAGCCTTCCAAGTAGCTGGGACTACAGGCGTGCACCACCATGCCCAGCTAATTATTTATTTATTGTAGAGATAAGGTCTTGCCAAGTTGCTTAGGCTAGTCTAAAACCCATGGGCTCAGGCAATTCTTTCACTTTGGTCTCCCAAAGTGCTGGGATTATAGGTGTGACCCACCGTGCCCAGCCTTATATACATCTTCTAAAAGAAAACAGGATAAAAATTTCTTGACCTCAGGCAGGGAAAAGAGTTCTTAGATGTCATTCTAAAAGCACAATTCATGAACAAAAGAATTAATTAATAAGACTTTATCAAAATTTAAAATGTATATATAAGAAAACCATTCAAGGCTGGGCACAATGGCTCACACCTATTATCCCAGCACTCTGGGAGATTGAGGCGACAGGATTACCTGAGCCCAGGAGTTCAAGACCAACCTGTGCGACATGGTGAGACCTGGTCTCTACAATGAATCAAAAAAAATAGCTGGGTGTGGTGGTGCACACCTGTAGTTTCAGCTACTTAGAAGACTGAGGTGGAAGGATCAGCTGAGCCCAGCAGGTAGAGTCTGTGGTAGCTATGACTGTGCCCCTGCACTCCAGCCTGGATGAGAAAGTGCAACTCCAAGTCAAAAAGAAAGAAACCCATTCAAAAAATAAAAAGCCACAGACTAGAGAAAATATTTGGAAGTCATATATTTGTTAATGAGCTTGTATCCAGAATTTATAAAGAACTCTTACAACTGAATAAGAAGTCAATTTCAATTAAAACAGGCAAAAATTTGAATAAACATTTCACCAAAGATATAACAACGACCGATAAGCACATTAAAAGCTACGTAGCATTTTTCTTAGCTTTGGCCCCCTCCCCTATGTTGGGGAGGTGAATCTCCCCGTCTTTAACTTACTTTCTGAATAAACTATGTTTTCCAATCTAAAAATAAAATAAAAGCTGTTTGGCATCATTAGTCATTTGGGATAGGCATGTTAAAAATCACAGTCAGATATACTTCTAGAATAACTAGAATCAAAAGCCAATCCCATGGTTTAATAGAAGACTGCTGTATGGCTGGGCTCGGTGGCTCAGCCTGTAATCCCAGCACTTTGGGAGACCGAGATGAGTGGATTGCCTGAGCCCGCGGGTTCGAGACCAGCCCTGGCAACTTGATGAGACCTCATCTCTACAATAAATAAAAAATGAGCTGGGCATGGTAGCACGTATGGGAGTTCCAGCTACTTGGAAGGCTGAGGCAAAAGGATCACCGGAGCCCAGCAGGTCAGCCCTGGGGTGGCCATGAGTGTGCACTGCACTCCAGCCTGGGTGACAGAGAAGACTCCAACTCAAAAAAAAAAAAAGAAGAAGACAGCTGTAATCTTATGTTTGCTTCAGCATCCAATCTGTTGCAATACACCTCTTTGGTTAAACACGTGAAAAAAAACCAGCCTCACCAGCCATGTAGTTGGAAACTGATGGAGTATTTTAAGAGGCTTCTCAGATAATAACTGTGGATTTCCTTTCATATCATGCTGAAACTGGACAACTGGCCATTTCATAAAGGTGAATTGAAATGGGGAGGTAGAAAAACACATCAGTGAACTTTTTGTGATCTGGTATATTAAAATCTGCTTGTTTATCTTGCAGGGGAAAAAAGCCAACCCCAAGTTTTAGCAAGGTTGTTGAGAAACTGGAACCTTCATGCATTGCTTTTGGGAATGTAAAATGGTATAGCCACTTTGAAATATCATTCGGCAGGTTCTTAGATAATTAAAAATAAACTTACCAACAGCTTCTTATTTCCCTTTCCCCCAACCCCTGGCAACTTCCATTCTAGTTTGTTTCTATGAATTTGACTACTCCAAGTGCCTCATCTAAGTGGAATCATGTAGTATTTGTCTTTTTGTGACTGTTTTATTTCACTTAATATGGTATGTTAAGGGTCATTCATAATGTAGCATATGCCAGAATTTCCTTCCTTTTTTAAGGCTGGATAATCTTCATCATATCTCAGTACCACATTTTGGTCATCCTGTTGGCAGACCCTTGGGTTGTTTCTACCTTTTTTGGTTATTGTGAATAATGCTACTATGAACATGGGTTTACAAATATCTGTTTGAGACCCTGTTTTCAGTTCTTTTGGGTATATACCCAGAAGTGCAATTGCTAGATTATATGGTAATTATATTCTTTATTTTTTTAAGAACTGTCATACTGTTTTCTACAGCAGCTGTTCCATTTTACATTCCTACCAACAGTGCACAAGGATTCTAAATTTTTCACATCCTCGCCAACACTGTTACTTTCTGGTTTTTTGTCAGTAGCTATCCTAATGGGTGCAAAGTGCTATCTCATTGTGGTTTTAATTTGCATTTCCTTAATGATCAATGATATTGGGTAACTTTTCATGTGCTTATTGGCCATTTGTATATGTTCCTTAGAGAAAAATCTGTTCAAGTCCTTGGCCCATTTTTAATCAGGTTTTTTTGTTGTTATTGAGTTGTACAGTAAACTTTTAAGAATTAAATTATACCAACTTTGCCAGTAAGCTTTCTTTCAGTCTGTGTTCCTTTGCTACATTACAGCAATCTTTGAATGCTCTTTCTTTCTGGAATAAGATGATCAAAGTATTTATTCATTGCCCCAGACCTAGAATCAATCATTGTTCCATGGAGTCATAGTTCCTGTTATACCATCAGTTTATATCTTTGTATCCTTAAGCTAAACCTAGCATGTAATAGATGTATAATTAATATTTATGAGTTAGGGTGGAACTTCACATCTCAGCCAGGGCCATAATATAAGTAGGGTTTAGTGAGTTTTCCCCGCTAAAATGATACTGCCTACAGACGTGATTTTCTTTTAAAAATCTGGGTGAGTTTAAGTGCTTTTCTGGTTATTGAATTTGTGAGAAAAGCGGCTTGTATCTTTAGAGGCCTGTTCTCTATTGTTTTGTTTTTGTTTTGTTTCCGATTTTAAATATGTATTACTTTCTTTCCATAGATACTCTTCTTATTGACTATCAGTTCACTTTTAGCCTATCCCAGGAAGATGACCGCTATTACACAGCCATCAATTTTGTGGCCACTCCTGATGAAGTAAGATTTTTAAACGTGTTGCTGTTATGTTGTGGATTTGTGTGGGCCTTTTTCTTGTATTTAGGGTGGAAGCACTGCCTCAGCAGTAGTCTCCAGAGTACAGCACACAGGATGATCTCTAGAAGTGTAGGAGAGAAATGTTAGAATCTACATATTATCTCCTTTTCATCTAAAAGGCAAGAGCGGTGTTAATAAGATTTACCAGGGTCTGAGACACAGACTGACATTGATTCCACACACACTTGGTTTGCCTGTCAACCCATTACAGCCCCAACAGAAACAGAGAGGAGATTGTAGGGGCAGCTCCGCTGTCAGTGAACAGATGGCAGAGACTGGATTTACTGTCTCAAAACTGACCAGAGGCTTAAAGAGCATCCATGAGGGCACTAACAATTGAAATGTCAGACATGCAAGCACAAGCAGACAGCAAGGGGAGAGGCAGAAGCGACACTTCTAGAATGAATTCTTAGCCTCATTAGGAGGTAACATAGCAAATGTTTAGTTGGGTTCAACAAGAAGTTGGCCGGGAACAATTTAAATTGTTAAAACTACTGTTTGAAATGTGGATTTGTATCTGCTGTCATTGATGATGAAGCCCAATCTCCCATAAGATATTACCTAGTAGTACATGGAAGCCAATATAACATGACATTTAGAAGTGAAGCAGCTGTTCATAGGAACCCCATCTTGAAGCCCACCAGAAGTTTCTGAGCCAGGTGCGGTGGTTCATGCCTGTAATCCTACCACTTTGGCAGGCTGAGGCAAGAGGATCGCTTGAGCATAGGAGTTCAAGACCAGTCTGGGCAACATAGTGAAACCTTGTCTCTATAAAAATTCAAGAAATTGGCCGGGAGTGGTGGCATGCACCTGTAGTCCTAGCTACTCAAAAGGCTGAGGCTGAAGGATTGCCTGAACCCAGGTGGTCAGGACTACAGTGAGCTCTGAGTGTTTGAGACCAGCTGGGCGACATAGTGAGACCCTGTCTGAAAAAGATGACGAAGAAGAACAAGAAGAATTTCAGGACAATTGAACCCATCTGTAAAATATAAAAATACAACATTGATTTGTTAGAAAAATAATTGTTTGACACCAAGAAAGAGATTTACTAATCAAATTTCATCACAAACTAAAAGGTGGTATTATAATTTACCAAGCATAGCCAACAGTGCACATCTTCTGTTTGGCTCACCAGATTTCTTAGAGATTTCTTTTTCAATCATTAAAACTGAGACTCAAAATAAATGAAATTAGATAAGCCCTTTGAATTGTTGTATCTCTAAGTGGTAAACAAGGTTTTCAAAGCTAGGATGTCATACTCAGTTATATTTCTCTTGAAATAATATTTTTAATGAGAGAAAAATACATTTTACATAATGAATGAATATAACCAAATTATTTTTTAAATTTAGTGTATTTCAGCTTTATACGCTTTCTAAAAATTTGAGTCATGGTCTCACTCTGTCACCTAGGCAGTGGTATGCAATGACAGGCTCACTGCTCACTGCAGCCTCGACCTCCTGAACTCAGGCAATCCTTCTGCTTCAGCTTTCCAAGTAGCCGGCATTTACGCCAGCCACCATGCTGGCTGATTGTTTTAATTTTTTGTAGAGATGAGGTCTCACTGTGTTTCCTAGACTGGTCTTGTATTCCTGCGCTCACACAATCCTCCCACCTTGGCCTTCCAAAGTGCTGGGAGTATAGGCTTAAGCCACTGTGCCTGGCCACTTTATAAAAAACCATTTCCCCCAGCACTTTGGTAGGCTGAGGTGAGGGGATTGCCTGAACCCCTGGGTTTGAGAATAGCTTGGGCAACTTGGTGAGATCTCATCTCTACAATAAATAAATAAATAAATAAATAAATAAATAAATAAATAAATAAATAAATAAATAGCCGGGCATGGTAGCGTGCATCTGTAGTTCTGGCTACTTGGTAGACTGATGTGGAAGGATTGAGCCCAGCATGTTGATGCTGGGATGGCCGTGAGCAAGCCACTGCACTCCAGCCTGGGCAACAGAGTGAGACTCTGACTCAAAATAAACAAACAAAAACCGGTTCCTGTATTGGAGAAATTTTGTGCTGTATATAATCTATGAGTTTAGAAGTACATGGGTTTAAGTTCATTTAAATATAAATTAGGGCACTTGGTCAAGTGTTTTATTGGTAAGAGTGAACTCCAGATGTTTAGAAATGGCTGCTCAGACAATCCTTAGGCAGCTGATTCCCCTAACATAAGTCAGAATCCAAGTCATTGTGCTCTATTGAGGATCTTTTTAAAAGGTACTTTTCCGTGCACTTCGGGATTTAATAAAGCATTAAATTCTATATACTTTTTTTTTCTTTTTTGAGATAAGGTCTCACTATGTTGTCCAGGATGGATTCAAACTCCTGGACTCAAGCAATCCTCTTGCCTTAGCTTCCTGAGTAGTTGGAAGGGAAATGACATTTAATTTTGAGTATATTGCTTGTATTAAGGAAAATTGGTTAGAGATTTTGCTAACTCTTCTATAAGTGTGAGTTTTTTTAAAGACATTGTAAAATATTCTGTAATTAAGAAAATTTAGAGTAGTAAAATTATTTATCACTTTATTTTAAAATCTAGAAACTGATATAATTAATATTCTGATTATCTGTACCTCTCATCAGCAAAACAGGGATTTGGACATGTTCATCAATGCCTCCAAGAACTTCAACCTCAATATCACTTGGGCTCCCAGTTTCTCAGGTAAGGACACACCTAGAAAAGACCCTGCAAGTAGACATGATAGGTTAAGAAAGGGGACTCAGGAGGCAGATTGGTTTGAAACTCACCTTTGCTACTTATTAGCTGTGAGATCTTGAGCCAAATGTCCAAACACTTCTCTAGGCTTTAGGTTTATTCATCTGTAAAGTAAGGAGAACAATACTTACCTCTTAGAATTGCTGTGTAAGTTAAATTAGGTTTTACCTGCCAGAGCTTACCGTGGTGTCAGGCTCAGAGTGTGGTTACTAACTCTTCCCCACTACCACTATTTCTGTCCTCGCTGTGGCCATTGCTCTGCACTGGCATCATCGTCTGCATCCATGCTTCAGAAGTGAAACATTCAAATAACTCATAGTTTCAAGAGGTGAAACATTTTAAATCAAATGAGATTTTGGTAGGTACAGAAATATCTACTTTGGGATTTAGATCAAGCTCTAAAAATGCAGCTTTTGCAACCTCGTTTGTCTTGCTGTGACTCTCTAAAGATCTACTGGGTACAAAACCTACTAAAGAAATAACAGATGACCCTGATGTAGCTATTCAAACATATAGCCACTACTTAACTTGATTACTCAACAGATAATTTGGGTTTGAATTCTGCCTGTTGTTTAACTTACACTGTGCTTTCGGGCAATTTACTTGAGATTTCTGAGCCAGTTTCCTGGTATATGAAGTGAGATTGTAAAAACACTTAGCTATGTAGAATGTTGAATGGACTAAATGAGATAATAAAGTTCTCAGTGTAATGCTTGAAACATTTTCTCACTAAATGGGAAATGTTTCATCATCATTAGTACAATGCTGGGGGTATTTTGGTCAAAACACAAACCAGTTGGAGTGTTGCAAAATAAGAATGTTACCCTTGCATGCCACTTTATCATGTCTTCAAAGATTGTGTAGACTTCAGGAAAAGTGCAGAAACTTGCAATGAGGATAAAAACTTTTAAGAAAAAGTCTGAATTACCAGTATTTATCTGGAGAAAGACAATATCTTTGAGCATGTGAAACATTTGCAATGAGTGTCCCAATGAAGACATGATAGTCTGGGCTCTAGTCACAGGGTCTAGTTCAAACACAGGAAAAGGTCCATTTTGTGAGTTTTTATAAAGACACTCAAATTCCTGACTGAGGGAGAATATGGAATGTTGAAGGACTGTGTGGAAGTAGGATGAAATTATGCAGCTTGTGGGAGACTTAAATTCAGTTACAGCTGACGGTAGAAGGGAGGACTGAGTGACCTCTTAAGCCCTTCCTCCCTGCTACAGTTGAGACTTAAGGCCACTGCTAGTTAGGAAGTGAGGGATGAATCAGTGTCCCTGATGAAGGAGTCTGGAGCATTGCCAAAGAGATAAAGGGGAAATGCAGAGAAATTAGAGTGTTAAGAGCAGAGTGAATGCTGGTGCTTGTTCATGGGATTCCAGTGAAATCTGTATTTTCATGGCCTGTTTTTCAGGGCTGGAGGAGTTGCAGGGGTTCCTTGTGAAACCATTCTGGTTAGGGGCATAACCTACCCAGCTTTAAATCCCATCTATAGCCGGGCTTGGTGGCTCAGCCTGTAATCCCAGTGCTTTGGGAGGCTGAGGTGAGTGGATTGCCTGAGCCTGCGGGTTCAAGACCCGCCTGGGCAACTTGGCGAGACCTCATCTCTACAATAAATCCAAAATTAGCCGGGCATGGTAACATGCACCTGTAGTTCCAGCTACTTGGAAGACTGAGGTGAAAGGATCGCCAGAGCCCAGCAGGTCGAGGCTGCAGTGGCCGGGAGCAGCCACTGCACTCCAGTCTGGGTGACAGAGTGAGACTCCAACTCAAAAATTAATTAATTAATTAATCCCATCTATTTCTTGCTGGCTGTGTGACTTGGGGCAAGTTATTTAATTTTTCTGAACCTCAGTTTCCTTTATGAGGATAATATGAGATTGTTGTGAGAATTAAACGAGATTGAACTCTTAAAGGCTGTTATTGGAACACAGTAAGTATTCAGTAAATGCTAACTATTATCCTTACATGAATGAGGTTAGATTCTGTCCAAAAAAAAGTCTCTTCTGTTTCATTTGTTTCTTCCTAACAGCTGGAACCCAGGCTGGAGAAGAGATGCCTGTTGTTTCAAAAACTAACATTAAGGAGTACAAAGATAGCTTCTCTAATGAGAAGTTCGATTTTCGCAACCATCCAAATATCACTTTCTTTGTTTATGTCAGTAATTTCACCTGGCCCATCAAAATTCAGGTAAGAAGTACTTTTTGATCTCATACCTGCAAAGATGGTGAAGTCTCTTTAGTGAAGACTAAATTCACTAATTGTGTGGTAAATGAGGTGTGTAGTGTTGCTTAGCCTTTGGGATGTCTGTGGCAAAGGAGTGCTGATGAGCACATGCATACTGTGAAGAGTGTGGTGGAGATGGCTTGATATCACTTATGAAGGAAATGTATAAGCACCTTTGAAAGCAAGGTGGCATTTAACAAATCTGGTAATTACATTTATTTCTTCATTGAGCACTTGCCATGTAAAAGCCTGGAGGGCTACACAAAAAACTTCAGTTCTGGAGTAAGGAGGATATAAATGAAACAAACACATATCAACAGTGAAAGTGTGGAAAGTGACATATGAAAAGGTCCCAAAACTGCCATCAGACTTTCAAGGAAGGTAGATGAGGTATAATGGTGGCAGTGTGAGATCATGCTGAAGAGCATATGCCTTGTAGTCAGACAGACGTGGTTGAATTCCTGGCTCCTATACAAATCATGCAGCTTCTTCAAGTCTCAGATTCTCTGTGCATGTGACCCAAAAGGACAGATGTAAGGGGCCAAGGCTCTTGTTGTCAGCTTGCTCCTTTCCTGTGTTCCCAGTGGCCAGTATACTGTCTTGTCCAAAACCCGTGGCCCCATTTGAGCTTTTAATACTCATATCAGCCGGGCTCGGTGGCTCAGCCTGTAATCCCGCACCTTTGGGAGGCTGAGGTGAGTGGATTGCCTGAGCCCGCGGGTTCAAGACCCACCTGGGCAGCGAGACCTCATCTCTACAATAAATAAAAAAATCAGCTGGGCATGGTAGCACATGCCTGTAATTCCAGCTACTTGCAAGGCTGAGGCAGAAGGATCGCCAGAGCCCAGCAGGTCGAGGCTGCGGTGACCAGGAGCGACCACTGCACTCCAGTCTAGGCGACAGAGTGAGACTCCAACCCAAAAAAAAAAAATTACTCATGTCCTTTGGGGCCTTGCCTCAATACTTCCTGCTTCTTGCCTTCTTCATTGTAGGTGAATGTGGAGGTTAGGACGGGCTTTCTGGGAGTGGCTCACCTTTAGCCATCCAGCATGGTCACTGGACTAGTACTGTTTCCATTTGCCAACTTTCAGAAGCATAATCAATTAGGATGCCTTGGGACTGTAACTAGAAAAGAACGGTCTTTCTTTTTGGAATGTGGAGGACAAGAACTGTGTTGTCCTTTTCTTCGTTACCCTCTCTCCTTTTTCTGCCTCCTTGGTCTACAGATTTGTTAATTCTTGAATTGGCTTCTCCCTTTGCTCACGCATACACGCAGCTTCTCTCCTCAGCCAGTCTTCTAAGCACTGGCCACATGCCCTATTCCTGTTACATTTTATCTTGTTACGCATTCGCTCTCAACAGTCTGTCTTCTCTCCTCACCATATCTGCCTCAGTGAACTCCAGTGACTGCATTCTTCAGTCCCCGTCTTCTCACTGCTTGACTTTTGAGTCACTGTCTTTCTTGCCTTCCTGGGTTTTCTTTCCCTCATTCTCTGGCAGGTCTTACTAGGAAGTCCTTAAGCACTGGGTTTGTTTGGAATCCAGGCCTGGTCCTCTTTTGCACTCCACGGTTTCCTGTATGTAGGACTTGAGGTACCATGTCTGTGCTGGTGATTCTCAGTGCTCTGTCTCCAGACCAGCATTCTTGGTTGCTGCCTGGACGTCTCTGCCTGGGTGTTTACAAGCTTTCTACTCTCAGTGCATAGTTCTCACTATGTTAGCTCAAACTCCCCTGTTTCCTTTGTTAGTGAGTGGCACCACCATTCACCCTGTTGGACAAGCCAGGATGTGGATATCAGTTGCATTCCTGGGATAAAGCCATCTTGGGCATCATGCACCATTTCCTTACTTTATGCATTATTAGATTCAGTTGGTAATATTTTGATCCGAATTTTGTATATTTCCTTGAGTAAGGATGTCCAATAATTTTCCTTTCTTGTCTTTGTTATGGTTTTGATATCAGGGTTAAATTAACCTTTAATAATTACAATTTGAGGAGTTTTCTCTCTCACCTCTGTAGGAGAGGTAAGATTAGAATTATCTGAACCTCAAGTACTTGCTAACTCACTTCTGTAAAATCATTTGATTCTAGCCGGGCTCGGTGGCTCAGCCTGTAATCCCGCACCTTTGGGAGGCTGAGGTGAGTGGATTGCCTGAGCCCGCGGGTTCAAGATCCACCTGGGCAACTTGGCGAGACTTCATCTCTACAATAAATCAAAAATCAGCAGAGCGTGGTAGTGCGCGCCTGTAGTTCTAGCTACTTGGAAGGCTGAGGCGGAAACATTGCCAGAGCCCAGCAGGTTGAGGCTGCGGTGGCCGGCAGCAGCCACTGCACTCCAGTCTGGGTGACAGGGTGAACTCCAACTCAAAAAAAAAAAAAAAAATCATTTGATTCTGGTGTTTTATTTGTAGAGATTTTTTTTTTAGCTACTGATTCAGCTTCATTAATAGTTATAGGATATTTTGGATTTCTTTTTTCTATTTGAGTCACTTTGATAATTTTTTCTAGATATTAACATATTATGTTTTTTAATGTTTGATCATTTTTTCTAGATATTGATATATAATGTGTTTTTAAATGTTATTGATACATAATAATTGGACATATTTATATGATACATGTGATATTTTGATTCATGCATACAGTGTATAATGATCAAATCAGGGTACTTAGGATATGTATCACCTCAAACATTTATCATTTCCTTGTGTTGGGAACATTCTAGCTATTTTGAAATATATAATAAAAATTATTGTTAACTATAGTCACCCTACTCTGCTGCTAAACACTAGAACTTATTTCTTCCATCTGACTGTATTTTTATTACTGCAAATGATAAGATTTTATTCTTTTTTATGGTTGAATAATATTCCATTGTGTAATATATACCATATTTTCTTTATTCATTCTTCTGTTGATGGATTGATTTAATATCTTCATTATCGTGAATAGTGCTACAGTGGTCATGAGCATACAGTTATCTCTTCAATATACTGGTTTCCTTTCCTTTGGATATATACCCAGCTTTGGAATTGCTACAAAAACTTCCATATATGAGTTGAGAACATGTGTTGTCTTTCTGTACCTAGCTTATTTCACTTGCCTTAATGACCTCCAGCTCCATCTATGTTACCACAAGTGATAAGATTTTATTCTTTTTTTATGGTTGAATAATATTCCATTGTGTAATATATACAGTGGACATGAGCATACAGTTATCTCTTTAATATACTGATTTCCTTTCCTTTGGATATATACCCAGCTTTGAAATTCCTAAATCATAAGGTGGAGCTATTTTTGGTTTTATGAGGAACCTCCATACTGTTTTCCATAGTGAGTATGGAAATTTACACTCCTACGATAGCATACTAGTGTGCCCCTTTCTCTGAATCCTTGTCAGCATCAGTTATTTTCTGTTTTTTTTATAATACCCATTTTAACTGGGGTGAGATGATATCTCATTGTGATTTTAATTTGCATTTCCCTGATAATTCATGATGTTGTACATTTTTTCATATATCTGTTGGCCATTTGTATGTCTTCTTTTGAGAAATGTCTATTCAGATTACTTACCCATTTTAATCAGATTTTTTTTGGTTGTTGTTGTTGTTTTGGGTTTTTTTGCTATTGAGTTGAGTTCCTGATAAATTCTGGCTATTAATCCCTTGTCAGATGGATAGTTTGTAAGCATTTTCTCCCATTCTGTATATTGTCTCTTCACTCTCTTCTTTGTTTCCTTTACTGTGCAGAAGCATTTTAGCTTGATGTAATATCATACATCTACTTTTGCTTTTGTTGCCTGTGCTTTTGGGGTCTTACCAAAACAATATTTGCCCATATCAATGTCCAGAAGCATTTTCCCAATGTTTTCTTCTAGTAGTTTCATGGTTTTAGGTCTTACATTTAAGTCTTTAATCCATTTTGATTTGATTTTTTAATATGGTGAGATGGGGTCTAATTTCATTTTTCTGCGTATGGATATACAGTTTTCCCAGCACCATTTATTGAAGAGATGTCCTTTCCCCACTGAATGTTCTTGTTGCCTTTGTCGAAAATCAGTTAGCTGTAAATATGTGGATTTATTTTCGGGTTCTCTATTCTGTTTCATTGATCTGTATGTGTCTGTTTTTATGCCAGTATCATGCTGCTTTGGTTACCATAGCTCTGTAGTATTTTAAAGTCAGGTAATGTGAAGCCTTTAGCTTTGCTCTCTCTCTTTTTTTTTTTAAATAAAGATGTGGGGTACAGTTCAGGGTTAAGTATACAGCTTTGCTCTTTTTGCTCAGAATTGCTATTTGGGGTCTTTTGTGGTTCCAAATGAGTTTTAGGATTGTTTTTCTATTTCTGTAAAGAATGTTATTGGTATTTTTATAGGGATTGTACTGAATCTGTAGATTGCTTTTGGTAGTATGATAATTTTCACAATATTCTTTCAGTCCATAACATGGGTTTTTTTGTGGCCTCTTCAGTTTCTTTCATCAGTGTTTTATAGTTGTCCTTGCTGAGATCTTTTACCTCCTCCGTTTACATTTAGTCCTAGGTTTTTAAATATGTACTGTGAATAGGATTGTTTTCTTGATTTTGTTTTTCTGCTATTCACAGTTGGTGTATAGAACCATTTCTGATTTTTGTATGTTGATTTTGTATTCTGCAGCTTTACTGAATTAGTTTATCAGTCTTAAGAGTTTTTTGGTGTAACTTTTAGGGGTTTCTATAACTAAGATACCATCTGCATACAGGAACAGTTTGATTCCCTCCTTCCAATTTGGATCCCCTTTATTTCTTTCTATTGCCTAATTGCTCTAATCAAATGTATTGATATCAACTTGTTCTAACTGTCCTCTTTTCTAATCTTTGTAGCATGTGTGCTCATATTAATATAACCCTTTTTTGTATTCCAGTATTGATAGCAGCATTATTCACAATAGCCAAAAGGTGGGAACAGTTCAAATATCTATCAAGG